ACATCTTGTTGGCTTTCCATCAGGAAATAAGGTGTCCTCGATATACAAATATTCCTACCGGGCGCGGTGGCTCACGCCTGCAATTCCAGCACTTTGGGAGGCCAAGGAAGGCAGATCACCTGAGGTCAGGAGTTCGAGACTAGCCTAGCCAACATGTTGAAACCCCATGTCTACTAAAAATACAAAAATTAGCTGGGTGTGGTGGCAGGTGACTGTAATCCCAGCTACTCAGGAGTCAGAGGCAGGAGAATTACTTGAACCCAAGAGACAGAGCTGAGATCACACCATTGTATTCCAGCCTGGGCGACAAGAGCAAAACTCCTTTCAAAAAATATGTATATATTCCTCTGGGACTAAACCTTTCATGTGACCCATTTAAATGGAAGCCTTCCAGGTATAATCCCTGAGTCTTCATTTCAAAGCCAGCCACCCATATTTATTGAGGTTCCATAAATCAGTTATCTCTCCCAAGCTCAGGGCCATTATTAGACCTGTGTGACAGCCAAAAATTCTATCCCCAGATTCTCTGATTCAGCTTTGGTTAAGATGAGAGGTGGAGCAATAGGCCACTGTCAAGCTCACGTCCAACTAGGCCAGGCAGAGGCCAAATCCTGGCTGATTTGACCTATAAAGGCACAGTGAGCCACTTTTAGATTTAGGATTTATTCTTTACATAGACAGCGAAAAGGAGGACAAGCCTAAGGTGCCAGCCCCTGCAGTCCTTGTCCCCTACCCCGAACAGGATGACCCTGAAAGACCCTGAAGGGGCTTGTGACCGCAAGGTTGTGGGATGCCCAGTAGCTGTGGAGCCTGTTCCAGATGCAGCTGAGGAATTTTATCTTCTACAGCTCTATTCGGAGGAGGGCCTTAGGTCTCACAGAAGCTGGAGGCGATGATCTCACAGAAGCTGGAGGCGATACAGAAGCATCTCACGGCAGCCTCTAGGGGGCGATGGGAGGCCAATGGGAGACGTAGCAGCTTCTACAGCCTCACCCTCTGGATGATCGCAAGGCGCCCTGCCAAGACTCAGATGAGCTCAGCTGCAGCCTTTGCCACTTGGCCTAAGTCCTTTGGTCTCTGACCTTTCATGTATCCAGCTAAGGACTCTCAGGGGTATAGCTGCCCCATCAGATACTCTAGTTATTTGCACTGATAGGGACTTGGACCAAAACTTTTTTTTTTTTTTTTTTAGACAAGGTCTTACTCTGTTACCCAGGTTGGAGGGCAGTGGTGTGATCTTGACTCACTGCAATCTCTGCCTCCAGGCTCAAGCAATCCCCCTGCTTCAGCCTCCCAAGAGCTGAGACTACAGACCCATGCCACTGTTATAATTTTTTTTTGGTGGGGGGGAAACAGGGTATTTCTCTGTTGCCTAGGCTGGAATGCAGTGGCATGATCTCAGCTCACTGCCACTTGTGCCTCCTGGGTTCAAGTGATTCTCATGCCTCAGCCTCTTGAGTAGCTGGGATTACAGGTGTGTGCCACCAAGCCCAGCTAATTTTTTTTTTTTTTTTTAATAGAGATGGGGTTTCACCACATTGGCCAGGCTGGTCTTGAACTGCTGACTTCAGGTGATCTGTCCACCTTGGCCTCCCAAAGTGCTGGGATTACAGGCATGAACCACCGCACCCAACATCACCATAATTAAACAATTATTTTAAAATTTGTGTATTTTTTTGTAGAAATAGGGAGGGTTTCACCATGTTGCTCAGGCTGGTCTCAAACTCCTGGACTCAAGTGATCCGCCCGCCTCCACCTCCCAAACCACTGGGATTACAAGCATGAGCCTCAAAATCATTGTTTTGTTTTTTTAAATTAAAGATGGGGTTTCACCACGTTGCCTAGGCTGGCATCACCTGAGATCAAGCGATCTGCCCAACTCAGCCTCCCAAACTGTTGGGATTACAGGCATGAGCCACTGTGCCTGGTCCCAAAACTATTTTATTTTCTTTAGAAAACATGAGTGTCGCCATGACTGTGACTGACAGCAGGTTGACCAGGCCTACAGCCAGGGTCCCAGCCAGAGCACAGTCAGCAAAATAGTCATTAAGCAAATCGTGAGGCAAGAGGTGCTGGCCACCATTCATTCCCTGCCTCGGCTGACTCCAAGAAGTCCAGGGCAATGTGCTTGTCCATGGTCACCCATGTTGGTGCGTTTAGAACAATCAGTCCGTGAAAAACATACAAAACCATCCTAAAATAACAGGATGAAACAAAAGGAATCAAACCAGCCCAGAAAGTGAATCTTGTTCCATTGTGTTAAACGCAGGCTGTTCCTTCCTGGTGGAGCCAGTAACTGTTGGGAAATTTCTTTCTTGTTTTTTATTATTTATTTTGAGACAGAATCTTGTTCTGTCACCCAGGCTGGAATGCAGAGGCACAATCTTGGCTTACTGCAACGTCTGCCTCTTGGTTTCAAGCGATTCTGCTGCCTCAGCCTCCGGAGTAGCTGTAACTATAAGTGTGCGCCACCATCCCTGTCTAACTTTTGTAGTTTTAGTAGGGAAGGGGTTTCACCATGTTGGCCAGGCTGGTCTCGAACTCCTGACCTCAGTTTATCTGCCTGCCTCGGCCACCCAAAGTGCTAGAATTACAGGTGTGAGCCACCATGCCAGCCTATTTATTTATTTATTTTTTGAGACCAGGTCTTGCTCTGTCACCCAGCTTCACAGCTCACTGCAGCCTCAGCTTTCCTGGACTCAGGTGACACTCCCACCTCAGCCTCCCAAGTATCTGGGACTACAGGTATGTGCCACCACACCTGACTAACTTTTGTATTTTTAGTAGAGACAGGGTTTCTCCGTGTTGCCTCGGCTGGTCTTGAACTCCTGGGCTCAAGCGATTTGCTCACCTCTGCCTTCCATTCTGCTTAACTGGGCGGGCATTGCGCTCTCCTCTTGTATCATAGGAACTTTTCCTGGAGGATCAATTCACGGCTTTGGCGCAGGGAACTCTCCATATATTGAACCCAACAGAAAGTGGAATGTATGGGTTTTATTAAAAGTGTTTTCTGCTGTTTTGCCTGATATTTTCCAGGAGTCATAGACTATGAATCCCAAATCAGAACTATCTTCATCACGGATGAGTTCTTCAGCTTCTAGCGGATTTACACCCATATGTATCAGTAGAACTTCAACGTGTCTTAAAATTTCAAACGAGCTCAGGTCTGAGCGCAGCTGATTTGCTTCCTCTTTGCCCAAATCTGAAGCCAAAACAAGAAAGCGGACATCCAGGACTGCTTCTCTTGCTCGGGACGCTTCATTAAACAGAGTGTTGGCCTCTTCAAGGACCTCTGTTAAATCTGTCGCCGGCATTTAGTATGTCCTCCGGTTTTGTTGGACGGAGTTGATGAGCGCCCGGTACTGATGGCGGATCTGGCGGCCTCCGCCTCCAAGCTGGCCGGGTCTATCATCTCGTCATCGGAATCCGACGGTTCTGTGTCCTCCAGGCTCGGGCACTCTGGGGCCTCCCTGTGCACCGGCGAGGCGCGGCGGCGGGCCACGGGCGACAGCGGGGACCGCGAGCCGGAGCCGGTGCGATCCCGGTGCGGGTCGTGGCCCCGGTCCCCGCCCTCTGGCCCACGGCCGCTGCTATCGGTCAGACTATTTCTCTAAGAAAATCTAGTTTGTGGCCAGGCGCGGTGGTTCACGCCTATAATCCCAGCACTTTGGGAGGCCGAGGCGGGCAGATCACTTGAGGTCGGCAGTTCGAGACCAGCCTGACCAACATGAAAAAACCCCGTCTCTACTAAAAATACAAAATTAGCCAGGCATGGTGGCACATGTCTGTAGTCCCAGCTACTCAGGAGGCTGAGGCAGGAGAATCGCTTGTACCCCGGAGGCAGAGGTTGCAGTGAGCCGAGATTGCGCCATTGCACTCCAGCGTGGGCAACAATTGGGAAACCCTATCTCAAAAGAAAAGAAAAGAAAATCAGAAAATCTAGTTTGTTCATCTTTGTCCTGGGAAATCAAGTTAGGTTACTAACCTCATGGTAAGTAACTTATTAACTATGAGGTCGAAGTCTTGTATAATTAACCTTATCTGCTGGGTTAAATTTGTACTCATCTTGCCAGTTAGCAAAACTATTTCTAGGCCAGTGGTTCTCATCCGTGGCTCTAACCCCGATTAATGACATCGGAATCCTGAGGAGTGGGCTCCAGCACTGGTAATTTTTTTTTTAAAGCTCGCAGGTGATTCCAAGATTGAGAACCACTATTCTAAATTTTCTTCAAAAATAAAAATAAAGGCTGGATGTGGTGGCTCATGCCTGTAATCCCAGCATTTTGGGAGGCCAAAGCAAAAGATTACTTGAGTCCAGGAGTTTGAGACCAGCCTGGACAAAAGAGCAAGACCCTTTAAAACTTTAAAAATTAGCCAGGCATGGTGGCAGACACCTGTGGTCCTGGCTACTTAGGAGGCTGATGCGGGATAATTGCTTGAGCCAGGGAAGTTGGGGCTGCAGTGAGCCGAGATCTCACCACTGCACTCCACATGAGTGACACAGTGAGACCCTGTCTCAAAAATAAATAAATAAAATAACAGTCATTCACGGCCAGGCACCATGGCTCACACCTATAATCCCAGCCCTTTGGGAGGCCGAGGCAGGTGTATCACCTGAGGTCAGGAGTTCAAGACCAGCCTGGCTAACATGGTGAAACCCTGTCTCTACTAAAAGTACAAAAATTAGCTGGGTGTGGTCATGGGTGCCTGTTAATCCCAACTACTCAGGAGGCTGAGACAGGAGAATCACTTGAACCCAGGAGGCAGAATAAATAAAAAATAGTCATTCACTCCAGCAACATGAACTGAGCACCTACGATGTGCAGGCCAGGTCAAGGAAAGTCGATTTAACTTTGTCTTTGAGGAGCCACTAGAGAGATCAGCATGTAAATGGACCCATCACAACACCCTGGAAAGTGCAATAAGAAGGCTGTATAGAGGGCACAGGGTGGTGGGAGGTGGGAGGAGGGGTGTGGTGCACAGAGGCAGGCAGGGGTGGTCAGTGAGACCTGCCTGGAAGAGGTGACCCCAGGGTGAATCTCAAAGCATGACCAGGCACAGCAGCCCTCTGCCTATTGAATTCACTGATTTGCTGAGGGCTGAGGGTGGAGAACAACTCAAATGGAAAAGCTTACCTAGCAGATCACACACAGGTGTTCCCTGACAAGTTCAACAAGAGAGGTTAAATCCCTGGAGGAACCCAGGATTCAGCGCATCAATAAAAGGGCCATGGGACAAGTCCTTGGGGAAGTTGCATTCCACCTCTGCTCCAAGCTCCAAGCTGTTGGAAGACTAATCTTGGCAAAATGGCAAGCTGCCATGGTTCCTGCCCGAGCTGTGATAGTCTTGTTTCTTCCCTGTATTGTGCCTTTCTTTGGGCTGTAAGGGGCTGAGAATTGATCCCTCCAGGAAGAAGGGATCAGACAAGAAAATTTGACCAAGACCACCCAATGGGCCAAGATTCAGATCCCCTATAAGTCTAAAATGAGTTCCAGTGAAGGTTACGTTCAGGGATACATGTCCAGCACCTGGGCTGGAGATACATCTGAGGTCAGCGGGACGTGATGCTCATGCCTGTAATCCCAGCACTTTGGGAAGCTGAGACCAGAGGATTGCTTCAGGCCAAGAGTTTAAAGCCAGCCAGGGCAACAAAGAAAGACCCTGGAGGAAGTAGAAAAGTTTCTCTTCGAAGTTTCCTTTCTTGTTAAAGAATAAATCATAAGTGTTAGAAATAATAGTTTGTTTTAAAGACTTTCTTCAAAGCCTTCTTGCTTTTTGCTAAGAACTCTTTGTTAAGCCCTATCCTATGCAGGTGTTAGACACGCTCACAGGCACGTAGTACCTCCTTCCTTGTGCTTTAACCAAGATGTTTATTACTTTTTTAAGTCCTTTCACAAGCAATTTCCTGTCCCTTCCCTATTTGGAATTCCTCTTTTCCTTCTGTTCTCCATTGCTTTTACCTGTTTAGAAAAGTTTTAAGTTGTTAGCCAATCAGGTGTTTTTAGATTGTGAGGTCTGGCTCCAATCAACAGAGATCAGACACAGGAGTAAGGATGACCCCAAATGCGTAAAGGATAAATATGTCTGCTTTTCCTTTGTTAGTTGTACCCTCAGGGCAAGATGGCTAATGGGAGCACCCTTTCTGCAGAAAGTAAAATTGCCTTGTTGGGAGATCTTTGTCTCAGCGACGATTTTTCATTGCAGCACTGAGCATCTGTTTCCAACAACCCTGTTGCTACAAAATTAAAAAAAAGAAATAGCCGAGCATGGTGGCACACACCTGGAGAAGACTTCTGGGGAAACGAACCATATCCCAGTTCTGCAAAGCGGTATTGCTAGGAGCCCAAACAATACACAAAGGTCTCCATCCATTGTGGAAGTCTGTTTTCATCATTTCTTCATCAACTATTTAACATGCAGCTTCTGCAAGGCCTATGAGAAGCTGGTGGAGCTATAGAGTAGGCAAGAATGCCTGCTATGGGGACATTTCCCTGTCCTGTCAAAGAGGTAAGACACACACACACGGGGGAAACAGCTTTAATCCTGTAAGGCAGAAGAGCATTTACTCTTTCCGGGTGAGTGGAATAGAATGAGTTCTCTAAGTTTCTCAAGGGCAAGTGGGGCTATTCCAGGGACAACCCTTTGGCAGAGATATAACCCTAACCCTGCAAAGACAGAGCATTCTCAGGTGGAACAAAAATAAACAGTGATATGGTCTGACTCTGTGTCCCCACCCAAATCTCGTGTGGAATTGTAATCCCCAGTGTTGGAGGCGGGACCTAGTGGGAGGTGATTGGATAGCGGGGGTGGCTTCTGGTGGTTTAGCACCATCCTCCTAGTGCCATTTCATGATAAGAGTTCTCACGAGATCTGTTTGTTGTAAAGTGTGTGGCACTGAGAGGGAGACCCCCTCCCCTTTTCCCACTTTTTGGCCTTTACTTCCTCCTCCCCTTTGGATTGGAAGGCAGGTTAAAAAAAAAAAAGAAAGAAAATACCAAAGAGATGGGAAAATAACTTATTTTTTGGTTCCCAGCATCTTTGCTATTTGTAAGCCTTAAAAAAGTTGCAAATGAATATTATTTTTACCAGCTGGAGCCTGGCACTGGGTTACACTCCCGTGTTTGCACGACGCAGGCTCCCTTCTGAAAACACCTTTACCAATAATTTACTGCCTTTGTCTTGTGTCTGTAAACCCTCTCCCCTGCCTGTTCCTGCTTGTGCTGCATATGAACTAGCAAATTAATAAAGCCAAAACATTGTAAGGTTGAATGTCCAGCCAATGAACAATAACATAGTTTCACCTCAGTTTCCCCTTTAGCATTGTAAGCCTATAAAAGGGGAAAGAAGCTGCTTCTCGAGGAGCTCAGTGAATAAGGCTGTAGCCCCCCCTCCCCCCGCAGTTCATGGCCAAATAAAAAGCCACTTCTTCCCTCAGTTTGTTATTCAAGAGGTTTGTTTCTTGCTGTTCCTGCTTCATTTTGGTTCCCTGACCGGGAAACAAGTTTCAGTTGGTGGATGGTCAGGGCAGGTAAACGAGTTTCAGTTGGCGGATGGTCAGGGCAGGTAAATGAGTTTCAGTTGGCGGACGGTCAGGGCAGCTTTGCCCTGCACAGGGGCATCCCCGCAGGGGACTCCAGCCCGCTTGAGTGACAGGATCCCGAGAGCACTCCCAGGTAGGCATTGGCCCCAGTGGATCCTTCACCCACAGCATGGCCAGGCAGGCCTGCAGGCATCTGGCATAAGGGCTGAACACCAAGAAGGAACCGGCGCACTTGGAGTCCAAACATCGAAAACTCAGTAGGGTAAATTCTGGAAAGCTTCGCTTAACCACCCCACTGGGTAGAAGCATGGCCTAATCAACCACAGTGTGCCAATGTAGACACCTTGGATTCAATTCTGTTCTTGTGTGTGTGTGTCAATCTTGGCACTTTGGGGTTTTTTTTTTTTGTCTTGTTTTGTTTTTAAAGACGGGGTTTCACCATGATGGCCAGGCTGGTCTTGAACTCCTGACCTCAGGTGATCCACCCACCTCGGCCTCCCAAAGTGCTGGGATTACAGGGACACTTTGGTTTTAATTTTGTTACTCTGTAAGCCAGTCTTGGCACCTTAAACTTGTTTCTGTTTCTAACTTGGCTGAAGGGAAAAAAGTATAAGTGTGTAAAAGTGCACAAAAAATGTATTGCACGGTAGAGGGTGGGAGACTGAGGGTGGAGTGCAAAGGCCCGAGTTATTACATCAGGTAAAGTCAGTGAGCAGCCCCTCTACCTGTGGGAGTGCCGATCTTATCCTAACAGAGGGAGACGGGTAAAACGCAGAATAAACCCACTCCGTTGAAAACTATGCTACCAGTTAAATGTACCAAGGGAAGCTCTTAAGGGCACCCAGGTCCATCTCAGATGCCTAAAAGCTTATGGTACTACAGTTCCTTGCCCAGTCTCCTTGGAACACGCCTCTCCTGTCTGTCCCCAAGCTGGAGACCAAGAACGATAAGCCAGTGCAGAATCTGCGCTTGGCCAACCAGGCAACTGTAACCTTGCACCCCACGGTGCCCAATCCGTATACGTTGCTAAAACTGTTGCCAGCTGCGGCCAGCTGTTCACTTGCTTAAACTTAAAGAATGCTTTCTTCAGTATCCGGTTAGCCCCTAAAAGCCAAAAACTGTTTGCCTTCCAGTGGGAAGATCCACAGTCAGGCGTAACAACACAGTACCCCTGGACTCGGTGTCCACAGGGTTCAAAAACTCCCCAATCATCTTCGGTGAGGCATTGTCCTGGGACCTCCAAAGCTTCCCCACCAAGGCCCTAGGTTGTGTGCTGCTTCAGTACATGAATAACCTTTGCTGGAACACCCGGTAGCAGCCATATGCGCCTGGGAAACTAACTTGTTGCTCAAATACCTGGAGACCTGTAAATACTAGGTCTCTAAACAAAAGGCCCAGATTTGCCAACAACAGGTGCGCTATCTGGGATTTACTATCCAGCGGGGCAGCAAAGCCTAAAAATAAAAAGAAAGCAGGTTATCAGTAACCTGCGGGTACCTAAGAATCAAAAGCAGGTACAAAAATTCTTGGGGGCAGTGGAATTCTGCAGGCTGTGGATTCCTAACTTAGCAGTTCTGTCTAGACCCTGTATAAAGCCACAAATCGGGGAAATAAAGAGCCGGTTAAGTAAAGCTCGGAGCAGCAGGGGGCCTTCTCACAGGTGCAGTGGCTCACGCCTGTAATCCCAGCACTTTGGGAGGCCGAGGCGGGTGGATCACGAGGTCAAGAGATCGAGACCATCCTGGTCAACAAGGTGAAACCCCGTCTGTACTAAAAATACAAAAATTAGCTGGGCATGGTGATGTGTGCCTGTAATCCCAGCTACTCGGGAGACTGAGGCAGGAGAATTGCTTGAACCCAGGAGGCAGAGGTTGTGGTGAACCGAGATTGCGCCACTGCACTCCAGTCTGGGTAACAACAGTGAAACTCTGTCTCAAAAAAAAAAAAAAAAAACACAAAAGAACACCAAAAACATGAATGTCTGCCCTGGCTCTGGGGCTGCTGAACTTAACAAAACTCTTTACCTGCTTCAGCACCTTCCCCTTCACTTTCCCTCTCTTGCCAGCCATGGGAAGATGTGCCTGCTTCCCCTTTGCCTTCTGCCATGATTGTGACTTTCCTGAGGCCTCCAGCCATGCTTCCCGTACAGTCTGCAGAACTGTGAGTCAATTAAACCTCTTTTCCTCATAAATTACCCAGTCTCAGGTAGTTCTTTATAGCAGTGCCAGAATGGACTAATACAGAGACATTTTAAGGGGCAGAATGGGGATGGGAAAGGAAAACAGTCTCTCCTTTGGTCCCTGGGACTGGCTTCTCCTGGTTTTCTATGCGTTTGTAATGCAGATTGGCTGTTGCTGGTGGGGTTTCACTCCAAGCAGCCCTGGCTTGTGTGTGGCTCTCTATGGGAGCCAGGATGCTTTCAGCAACCTTTCCTCCAGCTCAGCACCCGTGTCCCCAGGGGCTCCTGTCTGCACATGGCTCAGGTGCTGCGAGCAAGCCCCAGGTTCCAGGCAGCTTAGATGGTTTCTTTGAGGGGAGATGCTCTCAGCTGCTGAAGAGATATTTCTTCACTCTTCTCTTCTGCATGTTTCTTGGAAGAGCCTTCTTTGACCCTGTAGAAATGAAAAGGCAGAAGGCAGTGGTGAGGGGCAGGTGGCATGCATGTCGGGGGGGGGTGCCATATGCATAGGGTGCAGCTCCACTCTCCTGAAGCCAAAAAGGAGGTGGACACTGCAGCGGCCCCTTCTCTGGATTCTCTTGGGCACCCCGGTGGGCACCCTCCAGCTCCCTCCTTGCCCCATCACTGGGATCTCACAGCTGGCAGAAGCTGGCCTGGCTGGAAACACTTAGAAGAGCTGCAGGGTCAAGGGATCCAACAGTCTTACAGATGAGGACCTAGAGGCTGGACATGTGCCCGAGTTCACTTGGCTGGAAAACTGGGGCCAGCAGACACCCCCGGGGACTGGGACTACTAACACCCTCCTTCTCCCACTGGAGGAGGCTGGGAGGGACAAAGTCTGGGGCTCTGAGCCACTCCTGCCCTGCCCTGGTTGGCTCTTCAAGGAGTCAGGGGAGATTGAGGGTGGGGGGCTTGCCTGGACTTTGAGGCTCCCTCAATCCCAAATAACCTGAGGCTACCCCACTAGCTTTCTATCTTTTGACCAGGTCCAATTTTGTCTTTTTTTTTTTTGGGGGGGTAGAAATGGGGGTCTTGCAATGTTGCCCAGACTGCTCTTGAACTCTGGGCTCAAGCGACCTCCCACCTTGGTCTCTCAAAGTGCTGGGATTACAGGTATGAGCCACCATGCCCAGCGTACTGCCTTAAAAAAGAATCCTCTGTGCTTTTAAATGGTTTATGTTCATTTATTTTTATCGTTGTGCTGTGGACACTGGTAAGTGTTTTCCCACTTAGCAGTTTGTGGAGTTGGGTTTGGCCATGTTGCCCGGGCTGCCTTTCTGGCCGTTCTGCTGCCTACGTACGTCCCTCCCCACATCTCTCTTTTTCTGCCTGGGAAGCTGTTTCATCTTTTTGATTTCTGTCTCTTGGACACATTCAGCTTGTTGGTTTTGACTGTTGTGTGCCAGGGGGATGTGCTGCTAATGGTTACCGCCTGGGGCCTTGGAAGTTCCCACAGGTGAGGCTGCTTCCCCTCTGGGTCTTCCTGCCATAATAGGCTTCGAGAAGCTTCCGAGTTTCCCTAGCTCCTTCCCCAGCTTCTAGAACTGAGTGGGGGCAGGGGCTGGACACTGAAAAACTGCCTTGTTAAACTCTTTTTTTTTTTAATTTAGAGACAGGGTCTCACTCTGTCACCCAGGCTGAAGTGCAATGGTACAATCATAGCTCACTGCAGGTTGGAACTCCTGGGCTCAAGTGATCCTCCCACCTCAGCCTCCCAAAGTGCCGAGATTATAGGTGTGAGCCACTGCACCTAGCCCCTGCTTCACCTTCGGCCACAAGTAAAAGCTCTCTGAGGCCTCCCCAGAAGCAGATGACACCGTGCTTCCTGTACGGCCTGCAGAACCAATTAAACCTCTTCTCTTATAAATTACCCAGTTTCAAAAGAAAAGAAAAGAAAAAATCATTCAGGTAGGCTTGTATATGAAAAAAAAAAAGAAAAAGATAAATTACCCAGTCTCAAGTATTTCTTTAAAGCAATGCAAGAACGTCCTAATACACCTACCAAACTGCTGGCTCTTCAGCTGGATAGGAACCATCGAATGGAACCTTGGCCAAGTTACTAAAGAAGCCTGTGGACCAGAAGGCTTACTGTGTCCTCATGTGACTTCTCGGGTGTCACATGAGGACACACTAAATGTGTACCTGATGATAAGGAGTCCTCGTGGCTGCTGGAATATATAATTTCAGAGCATGCATCTTTTGTTGCTGTTCAGAGGGGAGTCTCGCTCTGTCGCCCAGGCTGGAGTGCAGTGGCATGATTTTAGCTCACAGCAACCTCTGCCTCTTGGGTTCAAGTGATTCTCGCACCTCAGCCTCCCAAGTAGCTGGGATTACAGGTGCACGCCTGGCTATTTTTTGTATTTTTAGTAGAAATGGGGTTTCACCACATTGGCCAGGCTGGTCTCAAACTCCTGACCTCAGGTGATTTGCCCGCCTCAGCCTCCCAAAGTTCTGGGATTACAGGCATGAGCCACCATTCTTTTTGAGAGTGATATTGTCCCAAAAGGGCAAATACTGTTTCTTGGAGGGCAAAAAAACATCTCAGATATTACAATGGTTTTTGGCCTTACGGAAGATTCCAGTGCATGGACAGATACATAGATCTTTGGTATTAAAATTTTATTGAGGTTGGGGAGTGTGATTAGAGAAAAAAATGTCTAAAAAGGGTTTGGGGGTGAGAATCAGAAAAGGTTCAGAAATACTGTTTTAGAAGAACTGCCTCAAATGCCCAGAACCCTAGGCTGAGACTCCACTTAGGCTCAGGTCGAATGATGCTAAGGAGACAGAACTTTTAAAACTGTAAGTCAGACCATATTAATCCCTTCCTCTCAGCCCTGCAGTGGGTTCTCCACTGACTAAGAATTCAGGTGTAAATTCTTGGCTGGGTGTGGTGGCTCACGCCTGTACAGGTGTGGTGGCACAGGCCTGTAATCCCAGCTACTTGGGAGGCTGAGGTAAGAGAATCACTTGAACTGGGGAGGCGGAGGCTGTGGTGAGCCAAGATCCAGCCTGGGCGAGAGAGTGAGACTGCGTCCCCCACAAAAAGAATTAAAGTGTAGATTCTCACCTTGGCCTCTAAGACTGCCACTGCCCACTCTCCAGCCTCATCTTGCAAGTCCATGTCTGGCTGGCACTCAGCTCCTCCCAGCTCTCTGGGAGCTCAGAGGGCTTCATAGGCTGTTTCCTCCCCCAAGGTGTCCTTCCCGCTTCTCAGCCTGCCTAGCCCTTCTTCCTCCTCCTCCTTTACATTTAGACTAAAGTCCAGAGGCATCCCCAACCACCCACACCTTCTCTCCTAATCCACACTTATCTGTGTGTATTTTTCTCTATGTGTCTCCTCTACTCCATAAGCTCCAAGACGGCAGAGATCACATCTGTGTTATTCATTCCACACCCCGCACTTAGCACTGTGTCTGCAGTATAGTAGGAATTCAATGACTGATAGTGGAATAAAGGAATTACATTTCAAAATGCCTACATCAAACACCAGGTAAAATCCTTAGCCTCCAGAATCTTGCAAAGGTCACTGGTCGCCCTCTTCCTCAGGGCACGGCTGCATCTGGATGTGCTCCTGCTGGTGTCTACCCAAGGGTAGGGCTTTGCTTCTTTAAGACCTCAGCTTATTTGTGTGTTCTAGTTGCTATATAAGCACCATGCCTGTTTACTCTTCAATAAACTGCAAGTTTAAGTTTCTTTTCTTTTCTTTTTTTTTTTTTTTTTGAGATGGAGTCTCACTCTGAAGTGCAGTGACCTGATCTCAGCTCACTGCAACCTCCAACTCCCAGGTTCAAGTGATTCTCATGCTTCAGCCTCCTGAGTAGCTGGGATTACAGACACATGCTACCTCCATGCCTGGCTAATTTTTGTATTTTTAGTAGAGAAGGTGTTTCACTAGGTTGGCCAAGCTTGAACCCAGGAGATGGAGGTTGCAGCAAGCAGAGATCATGCCACTGCACTCCAGAGTGCAGAAGAAAAGCCTTCCATATATACGTATATATGGAAATATATTCCATAAACATACATATTTTGAAACAGAGTCTCTCTCTGGGCAACAAAGACTCTGTTTCAAAAAAATTATATATATATGGAAAGCTTTTCTTCTCTTCTGTTTCTGAACAATTAAATCCCAAAGCCATTGCATGGGGCAGAGCAAGGTAGGTGTCCACGTTGAGGGGTGTCAAGGCCTGGGGTGTTGGAGCCCAAGTGAGGTAAGCAGGGTGTCTGCACAGGGAGGTGTCCTCTACAGGGACGCAGAGATTGAGCCAGTGAGGGAGTGTCCGTGTGTGAGGGTGTAGCCAAGCACAGGTATCAGAGCTGGGGTGCAGTGAGGAGGGCATCTGCATGTAGTTGGCCCAGCGTGGGGTGGTGGGGCCCCAGAGCAGTGGAGAGGATGCCCAGGCAGGGGAGGGCGAGATGCGGAGGCGACTCCAGAGACTGAGCCTTGGGCAGGCAGAGTGACAGCTGCAGCAATGAGGGGCGGTCTACATACAGGGGAATTGATCCAATAACTAAATATAGTAAGAATGAGGGGAGGCAGACTTTTTGTTATCAGATAAGGAAATTAACGAATAGGAAAAGAGAAACTGGGATGAACCCTGTGCTGTTGGACAGAACTGGAGATGTTGGTGTGAACTCACAGATCCAAAGACATAAAGGTGTGTGTTTCTGTGTGTAGACACACATATTCTGCACCTCTGTCCACTGAGAGGGCTTGGGAGCAGAGAGACTCCAAAAACAATAACCATCTTGCACCCAGATCTTGGTTTCTAAATAGCACTCTCCGCTAAGATGAACCATACTCAGAGGAATGCTCCTCTAGAACTACTGGCAGGATGAGCCCAGAATGTCTCATGCTAGAAAGCAAGGACATGCTTAAATCATTTTAAAGGACACAGAAGCCAGAAGATCCCCACTGACCAAACCTAGGGCAAACTGAGCATCCAAATGGGGTATAATCATTGAATAAGTGAGAATTGATAAATCAATAATGATATAAAGAAATAAGGAACTGAAGGTTTGACGAGAAATGGAATATGTACCTGGTTTCAAAGTACATCCCCAAGCCCAGGCACGGGCTCACACCTATAGCCCTGGCACTTTGGAAGGCTGAAATGGGGGATTCCTTGAGGCCAGGAGTTCAAGACCAGCCTGGGAAATAAAGCAAGACCCTCATCTCTACAAAAAGCTAAAAAAATCAGTCAGGTGTAATGGTAGGAGCTGGCAGTCCCAGCTACTGAGGAGGCTGAAATGGGAGGATCTCCTGAACTCAGGAGTTCAAGGTTGCAGCGGGCTGCGATCATGCCACTGCACTGCAGCCTGGACAGAGCAAGACCCCATCCCAAAAAGAAAAAAACAAAAGAAAGAACACTCCCACAAAATACTTAATAATTACAAAGAGGAAAAGATTAACTTTACTGTGGGTAAGTCTGGCAGACACCATCCGAATCCAGGGACTAAAAGAGGCATTCCCAGTCATGGAACAAATCCAAATTGTGGGCTGGGTACAGTGGCTCATACCTGCAATCCCAGCACTTTGGGAGGTTAAGGCAGGCAGATCACCTGATGTCAGGAGTTCGAGACCAGCCTGGCCAATGTGGTGAAACCCTGCCTCTACTAAAAATACAAAAATTAGCCAGGCGTGGTGACAGGTGGTTGTAGTCCCAGCTACACAGGCTGAGGCAAGAGAATTGCTTGAACCTGGGAGATGGAGGTTGCAGTCAGCTGAGATCACGCCACTGCACTCCAGCCTGGGCAACAAGAGCAAGATTCCATTAAAAAAAAATCCAAATTGCGTATGGTCTGCTAGGATGAAATGAGAAGGACACAGCATTGTTTCTGGGATGCTCCTGCCAGAGATCCGTAAGCTACAACCGATATAATCAGCAAACCCAAACCAAGGGGAAACGTATTAAGAACTAGTCTGCAATCTTCAAAGCTGTCGAGATCACTGTTGGTCTGTGTTAGCTTCGTGCTCGTCTCCAAAGACGCCTGGAGCCATGACACTGAGTGCTGGCTCAGACAAGGATGAGCTGTGCTGGTTAGCAACTTATGTGCTGTTAAAGCCCAGCTCTCCCCTGGAAGTCCCCTCTATCAACTAGTCTGCATTGTTTACTGAAAATGTATGGATTTAGGATCCGCACCTGTTTTACCTGGTGATACAGCCTGGCTTTGGCTGTGTGCAATGGGATAGAAAACATGCCCTCAGCTAACAGGTGCCTTGGCTTCCCTGAGATTGAGATACTTCATGTTCATCTTGATGGCTTGTGATACAGAAACAAAATGTATATCCTGGGCCTAAACGAGGACCCTGGGAGGTGCCCCTGGGTGCACCAGGTCTCCCAGTGCTTCCCTGTATTTTCTTCCTCCTGCCGTATTTCGTCCTTTGTCTTATGAGGGCCTTATCTAAGTGTCTTTTGTGGAGTCTTGTTAGTCCTTCCAAAGATAGAACTTTGTTGACTTGGAGTCATGAAGGTCGAAGGACACCTGAGGACACAGTCAAGCCTTTAGCCATGTGACAACTCAATGCTATACGTGACTCAGAAACAAATCCTCCAAATTATAGGACATCGTTGCAGGGATTGCAGAACTTGAATGAGGTCTGAGGCTTAAGTGCTTGTCATGCATCAGGACTAATGTTCTGACTTAGATGTCGCAGTTGTGGTTATGCAGGAAAATGTACTTGTTTGGAGGAAATACACATCAAAGCATTTGGAATCCACATCAACGACTTTCAAATGCTTCAGAGAAGAAGGTTATTTGTCTTGCAGCAGCACTTCTGTAAATCTGAGATAGTTCCGAATTGCATATGTGTACACACGCACGCACGCACGCACACACTCGAACGCACACACACACACACACACACAATTTTAAAATAAACAATAAAAGCCATACAAACTATGAGCCTACTTTGCAACGTTTCTTGACCTCAAGAGCGCATCCCACATCTGGAACCAATTCATTTTCCAGCTTGCGCAAGCTCACTCTCACCCCTGGGGAGGAATGGACTCCTAATAGGACCAGCTAGATCAGACCCAATCAGAAGATCATCGTGAGAAACAATTGCTCATTAGCAGCTACTCCAGAAAGTAAAATCATTTTCAGCAAATGGTCTTCAACACTGAATTGTTAATATCCAGTAACAATACTTTCTTTTTTGACAATAATTTTTTTTTTGAGACGGAGTCTCCTGTCCCCCAGGCTGGAGTAGAGTGGCACTATCTCGGCTTACCACAATCTCTACCTCCCGGGTTCAAGCATTCTCCTGCCTCAGCCTCCTGAGTAGCTGGGACTACAGGCATGCGCCATCACCCATGGCTAATTTTTGCATTTTTAGCACAGACAGGATTTCACCATGTTGGTCAGGTTGGTCTTGATCTCCTGACCTTGTGATCTGTCTGCCTTGGCCTCCCAAAGTGCTGGGAATACAGGCCTGAGCCACCCTGCCTGGCCAACACACAATAATTTTTATATTGAATTGTCCCCGGCATAGTCAGAGGAAGCTGCATCACGTAAACTAGACTTTCATTTGGCGTTACTGAGATTTTTCTAAGGCCAGGGTAAGCAAAATTTGATTTTTAAAATGCCCAGGCCAGAATCCCCTCGACTGTTCTCTCTGTAATGGCGGGGGGGCGGGGGGGGGGGGACATTTGGACATTTCTCCACTTGTTTTTTCATGTACTTGAGGCAACATCTCAAAGAACCTCCAAACCAGGCTCTGGAATGGGAATGGGTTATCAACAAGTACTTCCCTAACATCTGGGACACCTGCATCTAGATCTGTGGGATAAGCAGGGGTCACACAGGTAAAGAGCAAATGGAAGAGCATTCTAGACAGAGAGTGCAGCCCAGGCAGTAGCCAAGCTGGGGGGTGAGCTGAGCAGGTGCCAGATCACGAGGACCTTGTCAGACTTGATTTTATCCTCGTGATCTGACAGAGACAGGATCCTGTTTATGTCACCAGCCTGCCACACTGCTTGGCCTTCAGGGAATAAAGTGGACAGGGACAGGGGAGGATATGGGGCTCTCATAGTTGTCCAGACAAGTGACAGTGGTGGCTTGATGTAGAGCCATGGACACGGGGCTGGAGAGAGAACAGATTCAAGTCTATTCTGGAGGCAGAAATGATAGGACTTGCCAAAGAATATATCCTTGATGGCCCTTGCAGTGCAGCTTTGGTCCATGGCCCAGGTTAGAGATGGGATATCTATGGGGGTTCTTTTTTTAAGATGGAGTTTCACTCTTGTTGCCCAGGCTGGAGTACAGCGGCATGATCTTGGCTCACCACCACCTCCGCCTCCCAGGTTCAAGCAATTTTCCTACCTCAGCCTCCCAAGTAGCTGGGATTATAGGCATGCACCACCATGCCCAGTTAATTTTTTGTATTTTTAGTAGAAAGGGGGTTTCTCCATGTTAGTCAGGCTGGTCTCAAACTTGCGACTTCAGGTGATCTGCCCCCCTTGGCCTCCCAAAGTGCTGGGATTACAGGCATGAGCCACCGCGCCCAGCCTATGTGGGTTATTTCAGGGTTGCAAACACAGCACCCATACAGGCCACTGGGTACAGATGGGTCCACCTTTGGGATCAAGCTGACCTTCAGAGAGGGTGACAGATGGGCTCTGCTACTGTCCCTGTCACCATTCCCCGAAACTAAGGGTCTTCCCTGAGCCCACTGTTGCTGAGAAATGCTGCAAGAAGCAGCCAGATCTAATCCCCTCTTGCGTTTGTTTTAGAAACATTGTCCAGGCGTTGCTGTCACCTTAGCGACCTTTCTAATGAGACCCACATTTGAAGCCAAGATGATCTTTAAAAAAGAAGAGGCCAAGAAGAGAAGAGAAGCCTCTCCTAGTGCTAAATGCTAAGGAAAGTGTCACTTGCGAGGAAGCCCAGAACCAAATCTGAAGCCTGCACGGCAACCACAGGGGCCTGTCTTTGCTCAGTTTTCCCCGATCTCCTCTCCCCACTTCTCTGCCAGGCCTCACTTCCAACCCACGAGTTTCCTGGCTCATGGTTTATTCTTTTTTACCTTCGTGATCGGGTCTGTTCTTGTGGAAAGCTAAGCCGGTGTAGATGGAGGTGCGGAGGCATCTCACAGCTCTGGTGCGTCCAGCTAGGACGTTTCAGATGCGCAGGAGTGGGGAGAACACCCCACTTGCCCCTCAGTTATTTCCTGGAACTCTCGGCCTATTAGCGCTGGAGGCCCCTCACCTCCTCTCCATCGCCGTGATGGTCTCCATCAGGGGCTCGTTACGGGTCTCGGTCAGGAAGCAGACAGCCAGCCCAGCCAGGATTGCGGTGGCCCCGAAGCACACGGGTGGCAGGACGGCACTGAACTCCCCAAGTGTGGTAACCAGGGGCGCTGCCAGGCCCCCGAGGCGGGCATGGGCTGAGGCGAAGCCCATCCCCATCTGCCTGTGGGAGGTGTGTGGATGGGTCAGTGTAGCGACCTGCACCCCTCAGGGCCTGGGAGGGCCACACCCTGAGTGTCAGGGGGCAGGGCAGGAGGGACCAGGGGTCCTGCCTCGGTGACCCAGCAGGTCTCACCCTGCAGTGTCTCCCCCCATGCACCCACCTGATCTCCGTGGGGTACAGCTCGCCCGTAAACAGGTACACGCAGATGAAGGAGCTGGCCAGGCAGCCTTTGCCCAGCGCTGCCTGAGCCGTGCGCAGGTTCTGCAGACCTAGACCGGGGAGCAGGATGGAGCTGAGGTGGGAGGGGAGGAGCGGGGGAGGGGGAGACCCAGGGTGCAGTGGAGAGGGTGGAGGCTCAGGAGGGGATGAGGCCGGGGAAAGAGGCAGAACCTAGAGGAGAACCAGGATTTTCACCACCTCCGCTTCCCAAGTGTTCCCTGAGATTCAGAAGTCCCCCGACTGCCCTGCTCTGACTTCTCCTCTTTGCTCCCTTATTTGCATCTGTCACCAAGTCCTACTGGGTAGGTAGGTGCTTTAGAGTCAGGCCTGGGTTCAGCTGGGCACGGTGGCTCATGTCTGTAATCCCAGCACTTTGGGAGGCCAAGGTGGGCAGATCATGGGGCCAGAAGATCCTGGCTAACACGGTGAAACTCTCTCTCTACTAAAAATGCAAAAAATTAGCTGGGCATGGTGGCGGGCGCCTGTAATCCCAGCTACTCAGGAGGCTGAGGCAGGAGAATTGCTTGAACCCGGGAGGCGGAGGTTGCAGTGAGCCGATATCACACCACTGCACTCCAGTCTGGGGGACAGAGTGAGTCTCCATCTCAAAAAAATAAAAAAGAAGTCAGGCCTGGATTCAAATTGCAGCTGTCACCCCGCTGGCTGACCTCGGCCACTGTTTCTTACCCCCTCTGCACTGCCGTGTCCTCTTCTGTAAAATGAGCAAAATAGCACCTGCTTTATGGGATCGGAGTAAGCTGATGCCGTGGGTGCAAAGTGCTCGTTAAATGTTTGCCATTGTCCTCATTTTCTTTCTCTTTCTTTTCTTTTATTTATTTATTTATTTATTTATTTATTTGTTTATTTATTTATTTATTTTTTGAGACAAAGTCTCACTCTGTTGCCCAGGCTGGAGTGCAGTGTCATGATCTTGGTTCACTGCAATCTCCGCCTCCCAGGTTCAAGTGATTCTCCTGCCTCAGCCTCCTGAGTAGTTGGGATTACAGGTGCGCACCACCATGACCAGCTGATTTTTGGATTTTTAGTAGAGACAGGATTTGGCCAGGCTGGTCTCGAACCCCTGACCTCAGGTGATCCACCTGCCTCGGCTTCCCAAAGTACTGGGATTACAGGCATGTGCTACCATGCCTGGCCCATTGCCCTCATTTTTAATATGCTTCTCCTGCTGTTGTTTATAAATAGCAAAACCCCTATTCAAACATCCAACATTAGGACAGTGGTCAAGAAAATGATGGTGCCTTCTCCGGCTGGTGGCAGCCGTGGCTGCAAACTGGAATCAGGTGGGGAGATTTTATAAAACACTCACACTCGGGTCTTACTCAATATCCACTCTAGCAAGACCTATTGGGGATAGGCTCAAATTTGGGTATTTTTAAAAGGTCCCCAGGAGATTGTATTATGAAGCCAGAGTTGAGAAACACCAATCTAGATGAAACATTATCTAGGCTGGGTGCAGTGGCTCACGTCTATAACCCCAGCACACTGGGAGACCAAGGCAGGCAGATTACTTGAGCCCAGGAGTTTGAGACCAGCCTAGGCAGCATGGCAAAACCCTGTCTCTACACAAAAATACAAACAATGAGCCAGGTGTGGTGGAATGCACCTGTAGTCCCAGCCGGAGGCTAAGGTGGGAGGATTGCTTGACCTTAGGAGGTTGTGAGCCACGACTGTGCCACTGCACTCCAGCCTGGGCCGCAGAGTGAGACTCTGTCTCAAAAAAGAAGAGAGGCTAAGTGGGGCAGGGCAAGGCGGGGCAGGGCGGGGTGGAGGGAGAAGAGAAGGAAGGAAGGAAGGAAGGAAGGCAGGCAGGCAGGAAGGAAACTGTTATATAATAATAAAAGATCAGGTCCATGAGGCCGAGCGCAGTGGCTCACACCTGTAATCTCAGCACTTTGGGAGGCCGAGGTGGGCAGATCACTTGAAGTCAGGAGTTTGAGACTTGAGCCTGACTAACATGGTGAAACCACATCTTTACTAAAAATACAAATATTAGCCAGACATGGTGGGCACACCTCTAATCCCAGCTACTTGAAGGCTAAGGCAGGAGAATCACTTGAACCTGGGAGACAGAGGTTGCAGTGAGCACCGCAGCACTCCAGCCTGGGCGACAGAGTGAGAATTCTCAAAAAAAAAAAATCAGGTCCGTGAAACATTTGTGCTAACATAGAAAAGCATGTTGGGCCGGGCGCGGTGGCTCAAGCCTGTAATCCCAGCACTTTGGGAGGCCGAGGCGGGTGGATCACGAGGTCAAGAGATCGAGACTATCCTGGTCAACATGGTGAAACCCCCGTCTCTACTAAAAATACAAAAATTTAGCTGGGCATGGTGGTGTGCGCCTGTAATCCCAGCTACTCAGGAGGCTGAGGCAGGAGAATTGCCTGAACCTAGGAGGCAGAGGTTGTGGTGAGCCAAGATTGTGCCATTGCACTCCAGCCTGGGTAACAAGAGCAAAACTCCGTCTCAAAAAAAAAAAAAAAAAAAGAAAAGCATGTGTATGTTTCAACATATACATGTTGAAATAAGGGCATATTATATATATGTACACATGCACACATATACATATAATCCTATTTACATTTTTATATGTATAAACAAAATAGGATCTCAGCTATGCTAAATACAAATCTATAAATAAGAAAAAAGGTTGGAAAAAAATAGGTCAAGATACCCATAATAACATTCATCCATTTTACAGGTGAAGCACAGAGAAGCTGGACGCCCTGCCCAAGGCCAAGGCTGCAGTCACCAGGGGCACAAGGTTGAGCACATGCTCTATGTCGCTGCTGTTCAACCCTGGCGTCTTGCTGGATTCACTGGACAGTTTGTAAAATACTGAGGGTTGAGTTCCACTCCTTGAGATTCCCAGTGCACTGGCCAGGAGCACCTGGGCACAGGGAGTCATCAAGGTGCTCCAGGTGAAGGTCATTCTAGCCAGGTTTGCAAACCACTGTTCCAGGGCCAGTCCAGCTGAAGTTCGAACTCTAACTTCTCAACCCTTGGACATGCTGCCTGCTCAGACTCCGGGGAGCCGCACACTCCGCTGGCCACACTGAGTGAGCCCTGTGCTCTCCAGCTTCTTAGATGCACCTGTCTAACCTCCCTGACCACACGGTAGAAGCTCTGAGAGCCAAGGCTCAAGGCCTCCACCACTAACTGCCACTGGGCACTAAGTGCTTAATACAAACTCTAGTAATCAACAGTCACTTTCTGTTTTTGGTTTTTGTTTTTTTTTTTGAGATGGAGTCTCCCACTGTCGCCCAAGCTGGAGTGCAGTGGCTCAATCTTGGCTCACTACAACCTCTGCCTCCCTAGTTCAAGCAATTCTCCTGCCTCAGCCTCCTGAGTAGCTGGGACTACAGGTACCCATCACCATGCCCAGCTAATATTTTTGTATTTTTAGTAGAGATGGGGTTTCACCATGTTGGGCAGGCTGGTCTTGAACTCCTGACTTTGTGATTCGCCCACCTCTGCCTCTCAAAGTGCTGAGATTACACACGTGAGCCACTGTGCCTGGCCTGTTTTTGTTTTTTTGAGACAGAGTCTCACTCTGTCACCCAGGCTGGAGTGCAGTGGCACGATCTTGGCTCACTGCAACCTCCGTCTCCCATGTTCAAGTGATTCTACTGCCTCAGCCTCCTGAGTAGTTGGGATTACAGGTGTGTGCCACCATGCCTGACTAATTTCTTTGCATTTTTAGTAGAAACTGGGGTTCACCATGTTGGCCAGGCTGGTCTTGAACTCCTGATCTTATGTAGTCCACCCACCTTTGCCTCCCAAAATGCTGAGATTACAGGCGTGAGGCACCGTGCCCGGCCTAACAGTTTCTTTCTTTTCAGATCCAGAGAAATACCCCTGGGCCTTGTTGCCATGTGAAATTTGTTGTCTACCAGACCCCAGAGGCCCGCAGTTCTTAGTGGGCAGCAAGAGCAGAAGCGGGTGGCTCACCTTCTGGCACAAACATGTTGGCGATCACCATGAGCCCGGCTAGGATGAGGAAGGAGGCTACTGTGGCCCGGCGGCCCACGTAAATCATGGTGGCGGTGGCCACCAGCATGGCCGGGATGTCGATGATTGCAAACAGGGCCTGCACCAGGTAGAGGCTGAGCCCAAACTTCTGCAGGTCCATGGCCAGGCCGTAGTAAGCCACAGAGTTGGAGAACCTGGGAGAAGCAGTGGAACGGTCCTTGTTCACCCCGTGAGTCACTGTTCTGACCCCAGGGGAGGTGACACAAGGGTGGATGACAGAGGACTCCTCTCCTCAGCAAGGTAAAATTCCCTGACTTCCCATAAGCGCCCCTTCCGGGTCTCCTAAGTCTCTGTCTTTGGCATTTGAGCTCGGACCCCTCCCTCCGAATTCCTTTCCACCACCCAATCCTGGGTCCAGTGCATGGATTCTGGAGCGCGTTTGCTTTTCTCTGCAGTCCACCTCAGTGCCGCAGTTAAGACAATACTAAAAAATAAAAAGAGAAGAAGATGGAGGAAGGCCAAAGGACACCGGAGCCAAAGCAGAGACTCCCAATGGCCAAAGCTGGAGCAATTTGGGAAATAAGGTCAAGACGTCGTATCTACTAAATAAGGGAAAAACACCATTGAATTATAACCCAAAGTATAAGCTACATGAGTATACGTGAGTCTCGATAAAGAAATGATTTTATAAAGAAGTCTTTCTGAAAAAAGAACTCCAAACAATATGTGTCAATACTCCACTCCTTCAGGAGGTGAAGCTTAGTTTCCCTCTCCTTGAGTGCAGGTCACTTCAAAATAGCAGAATATGGCTGGGTACAGTGGCTCATGCCTGTAATCCCAGCACTTTGGGAGGCGAGGCGGGCGGATCATGAGATTAGGAGATTGAGACCATCCCAGCCAACATGTGAAACCCTGTCTCTACTAAAATACAAAAAGTAGCCAGGTGTGGTGGCACGCACCTGTAGTCCCAGCTACTCGGCAGGGAATTGCTTGAACCCGGGAGGTGTAGGTTGCAGTGAGCCTAGATCATGCCACTGCACTCCAACCTGGTGACAGAGCAAGACTCCATCTCAAATAATAATAATAGAATATGGAAAGAGGCTGCGCACGGTGGCTTGCACCTGTAATCCCAGCACTTTGAGAGGCTGAGATGAGTGGATCATTTCAGCCCAGGAGTTCAAGACCAGCCTTGGCAACATGATGCAAACCCACTTCTACCAAAAGTACAAAAATTAGCTCGTGTCATAACCTGGTCTCAAAATAAATAAACAGATTAAAATTCAAAAGTAAAAACAAGAATATGGAAAGAAAACATAATTAACTTTACAGTGGAGAAAGCTGGTAGACACTACCTTCATCAAGGGATCAACATTAACACCACCAGAGTCAGCCACGCTGATATCACATATGCCCGCATATGATACGATATGATGAGAGGGTCGTATCACCTGCACGGTTCTCCTTTCCCAAATCCTGCAATCCCAGTCTAATCATGAGAAAACCATCAGACAAATCCAAATTGAGGCCGGGTGCAGTGGCTCACATCTGCAAACCCTGAACTTTGGGAGGCTGAGGCTGATGGATCACCTGAGGTCAGGAGTTCAAAACCAGCCTGACCAACATGGTGAAACCCCGTCTCTACTAAAAATACAAAATTAGTGGGGTGTGGTGGCACATGTCTGTAATCCCAGCTACTTAGGAGGCTGAGGTGGGAGAATCACTTGAACCCGGGACACGGAGGTTGCACTGAGCCAAGATCACGCCATTGCACTCCAGCCTGGGCAAAAAAAAAAAAAAAAAAAAAAAAAAAAGTCCAAATTGAGTGACATTCTAGAAAATACTTGACCAATACTTTTCAAAACTGTCAAGGTCACGAAAAATAAAGAAAGACTAAGAAACTGCCACAGATCAAAGGAGACAGAGAAGACATAAGATATGACTAAATGTAATGGGATATACTAACTGGTAAAATCCAAAATCAGTCTCTAGTTTCGTTAATAGTAAATTACCAACCGCAAATTATTACTTTTGACAAATGTACTATGGTAATTTAAGATGATAATATGAGGGGAACTGGGTGAAGTGGACACAGGAACCCTCTGTACTAATTTTGCAACTTTTCTATGATTATACATTTATTCCAACATTTTATGAAGGTAAGCTAACAGTAGGATATATCTATGAAAACCAATATCCAGAAAAAAAAATTTATCCTGAAAAAATATATATTTATGTGTGTGTATATATATATATATTTTTTTTGAGATGGAGTCTCAGTGTTTTTGCTGAGGCTGGAGTGCATGGTGCAATCTCTGCTCACTACAACCTCCACTTCCTCGGTTCAAATGTTCTCCTGCCTCAGCCTCCTTAGTAGCTGGGATTACAGGCACGCGCCACCACACCTGAATTATTTTTACTTTTTCAGTAAAGACAGCGTTTCACCATGTTGGACAGGCTGGTCTTGAACTCCTGACTCAAGTGATCCCCCCACCTCAGCCTCCCAAAGTGCTAGGATTATAGGCATGAGCCACCACACCCAGTCCCTATTATATCCATTTCCATAAGAATATGTATGTGTGTATGTCCTAAGATCTGCCAGAATACAAACTCACGCCTGACAGTGATGGGAGATGCGAGTTCAGAGACGGGAGGAAGAGTAGGCTGAGAGGAGCATTCACTCGTGTATCCGATAACAGAGCACAACTCGCATTCAGGTACTGTCCTACCTGCTTTACAGACTACTTTTCACAACAACCTAATGCGGTAGGCACTATTATGATGCCCATGTTACAGATGGGGAAACTCAGGCACAGAGAGGTTAAGTAACTTGCCCAGGATCACAAAGCCAGTAAGTGGCAGAGCTGAGATTCAAACCCAAGTTCCAGAGTCCTGCTTCCTAACCCATACACTACACTGCCTGTTTCTGGATTGTCGGTGGGGGGGAGGACTTTTTAACAACGAGTATGCATGCTTTTAGAATTTAGAAAAAGAAAAACCACAAGGTGGCTCAGGCCTGTTATTCCAGCACTTTGGGAGACTGAGGCGAAGAACTGCTTCAGTCCAGGACTTCTAGACCAACCTGGGGGACATTGAAAGACCCCACCCCATCTCTATTTTAAAAAAATAGCCTGGGCTTGGTGGCAGGCACCTGTAGTCCTAGCTGCTCCGGAGGCTGGGGTGGGAGGATCGTTTGAGCCTGGGAGGTCAGGCTGCAGTGAGCTATGATTGTGCCACTGCACTCCAGCCTGGGTGCCAGGGCAAGACCTTGTCCCAACAAAATCAATCAACCAGTAAAGAAAAAAATCCCAGTTAATTGAAGGCATTTTCAATAGGGTTTGGTGGAAATTTGTGAAAGTTCACCAGCTCCTAACTCTTCCTCTTCCTCCTCCCCCATTTCTTTTCGAACCCCGGGACTCCCCATCCCCACCTCATCTCAGACACACTGGCAAGGAAGGGGTTGGGAGGGGAGCACGCTCGCCGCCTCCCACTCCCCAAAGCCAGGACTGCGCAATTAATCCCAGGCGCGAGCGTGGCGCGGCTCCCAGATGTCAGCGAAGCGAAACATTTGGAAACGGCCCCGATTTTCCGGACGCGGTTAAGTCCCGGCGTGCGAAGCCGAACCTGCGGTGCCCGGGGGAGCTTTGAGCGGGTCAGGTCGGGTCGGCTCCACGGGAGAATCGCCCCACCTGCAGGCAGGGAGCTCCAAGGTTGGCTGCCGAGTCAGTTTCTCAACGAAAACGGGCCTTTGGTTTCTTTTTCCAGAAGGATCCGAGAGAGGACTTTCAGCTCTGGAATTTTGAACTCAGGATCTGTTTCTCCCTCGCAGAATGAGGAAGGTGGACGAAGGGAAGCCTAGGCCGGCGGGGCTACCGCAGGGAGACGGGAGCTCTCTCGCTCGCCAGAGCCAGAACTGCGCTGCCGACCACGCGATCAGGGCAGAAGCCCTCACAGCCCCCAGAGTCGGGGCCTTCCCATCTTCCCAGTACACAGGGGTCACAGCCCCAAATCCAAACCAGAGACTCTTGACCCCAGAGCTTCCCAGGGGGCAACCTGCGGTTCAAGTGCTTTATGTGTCTTTTTTTTTTTTTTTTTTTTTTGAGACGGAGTTTCACTCTCGTTACCCAGGCTGGAGTGCAATGGCGCGATCTCGGCTCACCGCACCCTCCGCCTCCTGGGTTCAGGCAATTCTCCTGCCTCAGCCTCCTGAGTAGCTGGGATTACAGGCACGTGCCACCATGCCCAGCTAATTTTTTTGTATTTTTAGTAGAGACGGGGTTTCACCATGTTGACCAGGATGGTCTCGATCTCTTGACCTCGTGATCCACCCGCCTCGGCCTCCCAAAGTGCTGGGATTACAGGCGTAAGCCACCGCGCCCGGCCCACTGTCTTAACTTTGTTTCGTTTTTTGAGACGGGGTCTGCCTCTGTCATCCAGGCTGGAGTGCAGTGGTGCGATCACAGAGCAGCTTCAAACTCCTAAGCTCAAGCAGTCCTCAGCGTCCCAAGTAGCTGGAACCACAGGTGGCCATACCTGGCTGGTAGGGGGTCTCCCTATTTTGCTCAGGCTGGTCTGGAACTCCTGGGCTCAAACGATCCTCTGCCTCTGCCTCCCATAGGGATTACCGCACACATGAATCACTGGGGCTGGCCTCATGTCTTAACTCTGGATCCTCACAAGGACCTTACAGCCATAGGAGAGACCCCAGGAGGCTGGGCTCCCTGACTTGCTCAGGTCACATGGGTAGTCCAGCCTCAGAGTCCAGCTGATACGTACTAAAAGGGACTGCCCAGTCTGCTACAGAAAACAGATAGTACCCTGTCTCTACTAAGTATACAAAAATTAGCTGGGCGTGGCACCTGCCTGGAGTCCTAGCTACTAGGGAGGCTGAGGCAGGAAAATAGATTGAACCTAGGAGGCAGAGGTTGCAGTGAGCCAAGGTGGTGCCACTGCACTCCAGCCTGGTGACAGAGTGAGACTTCATCAAAAAAAAAAAAAAAAAAGAGAGAGAGAGAGAAAAGGAAGGAAGGAAGGAAGGTAGGTAGGAAGGATGAGATTCAGATGCTTCAGGTAATGGAGAAAAAAAAGGAAGAAAGAAAAAGAAAACGAATAGTAATTCATTGCCTGCACTCCCTGCTTCATAAGTATCAATACCAATTATTTAAATGTGCAGAAAATCCAGTAGAATGAAATCAACACGGTTGCTTTTTATCAGCCCCTCCCCTTAGGATGTGTCAGCTTCCAGTTGGTGGTGCTGTTGCACGTGGGCTGCCTTGGTGTTTTTGCCCATTTCACATCTTCACGTCTGTGAACCTGTTAGGAATTCCTTCCTGCCCACCTTGCAGCCTTGATTAACCATCTTTTAAAAGCAGTTTAATGCTATCTCCTACCTGAAGCCCTCAGCAGCCCCAACTAGCAGAAATGTTGTTAGGATGCTTGTCTCACTGTATGGAAATTAGAATTTTCCTGTCTATCCCCTTCTGGAGACAGAAATGTTTTTTCCAGAGTGGGACACTTCCCAGAATCCACTGGAAGCCAGCCCCAAGGGCATATCAGGATGGGACAAGGTACATTCTGGAAAAGCTGCCTTGGTGATTCCAATAGACCTCCCACCCAGGTGAGACCCACAGCCCATAAGTGGGGTTCCTTGGTCAGCATGTTGTCTCATCTGTCACCACATCTCAGCATCCAGCAGAGGGCGAGTGCTGGAAAAGGGGTGTGGGAAGAGATTGCGTTCACAAGGCTCACCTGCTCATTGCATTAAGAGTATTTCAGAACAGTTTTTCGGTGGGAGCAGAGAGCACGCCCCTGCCTCGGGTGAAAGATTTGGGCATGAGCCCGTCACCTACCAGACCACCATGAGACAGCACGTGACCTTGCGGATGGCCGGAGTTCGGAAGAGATCCAAGATTGAGTTGGAGATGTGGACACTCGCAAACTCTCTCTGGATGTAGGAGCTCACCACCTGGGCAAGGAGAGTCAGCTCAAGGGAAGCGAGGGAGCTGGGACCCCACATCCCTGCTGGGAACCCCTTCATCTGTGTGGAGGAGAGCTGGGGTTGAGGTCTTTGGTGAGGTGGCTGGCCCTAGTCTCCCTTACATCCAAAGACTGATGGCACTTGAGGGGCTGTTTCCAGAGTGTTGAGAAGCTCCAACATGAGCCCGAACACTCCTGAAGTTCTGCGGTTCTGGAGGGCCCCCCGCCCCGTTCCTGGTATAAGCTTGGAGATTGGGTCAGATAAGAGCAGGGGTTCTAAGAGGTTCTGCCACATCCGACTGTGTGTTTCCAGGCAAGTTACCGAACCTGTCCACACTTCAGTTTCCTCATTGGCAAAAGTGAGACATGAAATGAGATTATGTACATAAAACTCTTAGCCTAGTACCTGGTGTGGGGCTTGAGAAACGGTGCTTATTGATAATAAATGGGAACTATCTTCTAATAAATGGTATTTAAAATGGTACTTTTGTTATTGATTCCCTGATAATTTTACTTTGCGGTTGCCATTTTAATAATTTTAGTTTATTAAAATTTCAACTGGCTGTCAAAGGTAATGAGGTTACTTCCTCACTGCAAAGATAGACTGGTGAGCAAAGCAGTTAAATTATTTATCCCAAATCACACAATCATGCCACACCTAAACAACATACTTCACACACAGAACTCTGCCTGTCCTGTTTATTCCCAGCGTCTACCCCTGGATGGCACATGAGCCCTGGGAAGTTGCTTAATCCTAGTGTAACAGGCTGGAGACTGTTTCCGCCCTTCCTCCGAGCCTGCTTACCTCCTTGGTCAGCCTTTCCCCTTCTTCCTTCCTCCCGTTCATTGCAGCCACCTTCCGCAGGTTCTGGACAGCTAACTGGGACTTGCCATGCAGGAGGAGCCAGCGGGATGACTCTGGAAGCCACCTGGGATCGAGAGGAAGAAGAAGAAGAATCTGGGGCTGGGCAGGGCTCATTCTGTTCCCCAAATCCAATACCCCCTTGTCCACCTTCTTTCAGCCCCCAAAAAAGGTGAACCGTCCTCCCTCCTGTTTGCAGCATCAGGAAGTCGGGGGGCTTGCCAGCTTCCCTCTTTTTACAGCACGTCATATGAAGACTCACTGGACAGTATTTAAACACTACAGAGGACTTGGCCAGGTGCGGTGGCCCATGCCTATAATCCCAGTACTTTGGGATGCTGAGGTGGGTGAATCACCTGAGGTCAGGAGTTCAAGACCAGCCTAGCCAACATAGTGAAACCCCATCTCTACTAAAAAGACAAAAAAAACTAGCCAGGCGTGGTGGTGTGTCCCTATAATCCCAGCTACTCAGGAGGCTGAGACAAGAGAATTTCTTGAACTTGGGAGGGGGAGGTTGCAGTGAGCTGACATTGTGCCACCTCACTCCAGCCTGGGCAACAGAGGGAGACTCCATCAAAAAAAAAAAAAAAAGATTACAGAGGATTTAGGACTTCAGCAGACCCATGGGTTTGTTTGTTTGCTTGTTTTTGAGACTGTCTTGCTCTGTCACCCAGGCTGGTGTACAGTGGCACAATCTCAGCTCACTGCACCTTCCACCCCTGAGTTCAAGTGATTCTCCTGCCTCGGCCTCCCAAGTAGCTGGGATTACAGGCGCCCATCACTACCCTGGTTAATTTTTTTTTTTTTTTTTTTTGTATTTTTAGTAGAGACAGGGTTTCACCATATTGGCCAGGCTGGTCTGGAACTCCTGACCTCAACGGATCTGCCCATCTCGGCCTCCCAAAATGCTGGGATTACAGGTGTGAGCCATCCTACGTGTCCCAGACCTGGTTTTAAATCTGGTTCTGACCCTAGCTGTGTGGCCTTGAGCAAGTCATGGGCCCTCTCTGGGCTGCGCCTCATTACCTTCTTATAAATGTCCCAGTTCTATTCTTATAACTTTATGAGTACTCTAAGTTGAAGGATGCAAAGGAGCTGATGAAGGCAAAGGCCCTTGGGATGTTCCAGAGCCCCACACGAATGCAAGGGACGTTACCAGAGCGTCCCAGTGCCCTTCGTGAGGACCTGAGAGCTTGCAGCCTCCATGGACACCTGCCATCCTTTGTGTCCCTCGTTAGGTCCAGCAAGCCCTGGTCACTGACACCCCAACCTCTTATAGGACCATCCCACTTTGTTCAGGACATACCAAGAATAGAGGAAAAAGATCAGGAAAGGAGCCGAGACAGCAAACTGCAGGCACCGCCAAGGGCGAATCAGGTACGCGACCCCAGCCAGGAGGAGCTGGCCCAGGGTGAAGGAGTACCCCAGCAAGATGCCCGCCGCAGTCCGGCCCCGGGTGGGCATCCACTCCACAACTGAGGAGGAAACAGTCACGTGCAGTGGGGTTTGATGCACCACACCCGCCTTATCATTATTCTGACAGCTTAAACTCATTCCAGAGACCCGCTGAGATGCAGGCCAAGGTGTCCCTACTGCACTCCAGGTAGATTCTAAGTAGATCGAAGAGCTCAATAAACAGTAACCCTACAAGAATGCCAGAAGCCACGATCGATGATTTTACCATCGTAGGGCAGGGAAAGGCTTTTCCAAGAATGTCACAAAACCCAGGAGCAATAAAAGGGAAGGTTGACAAACTTGGAGTTGTAAAAATAAAAAATGTCTGCACTGGAATTAAACAAACAAAACACCATAAGCCAAGGCATTACGTCAACAAAAAAGCAAAAAACTTAGTTGTGACCTAACTAACAGATGAAGGACTAATTTCAGCCTGGCCGAGGTAGCTCACACCCATAATCTCAGCACTTTGGGAGCCTGAGGAGGGTGGATCACCTGAGATCAGGAGTTCGAGACCAGCCTGACCAACATGGGGCTAAAAATACAAAAATTAGCCAGGCAAGATGGCATGAGCCTGTAATCCCAGCTACATGGGTGGCTGAGGCACAAGAATCGCTTGAACCCGAGAGGTGAAGGTTGCAGTGAGCTGAAATGGCACCACTACACTCCAGCCTTGGTGACAGAGCTAGATTCTGTCTCAAAAAAAGAAAAAGAAAAAAAAAGACTAACTTCTCTAATACTGAAAGAGTTTTCACAAATCAATAGGAAAACAGCCAACAAGCTAAAAGGAAAATGGGCAATGGTGCAATTTTTGGCTAATTTTTGTAAACAGCAAAACCTGGAAAAACGTAGGTGTCCATCCATATCCATAGGGGACTGATTAAGTGAGGATGACACACCCTTATGAGGCAGCCCTAGTGAGGACACTTCCTCCCAATGGGCAGGAAGCCTGTGCGTCCAGTCCTTCAGCAAACCCTTCTGAATTTAGCCAGAATCTGCGCTCACTCCCTCTGCTGCTGCCACCGTGGCCGGGTTCAGCCTGGTCTCTTGCTCCGTGACAGCAGTAGCCCTTTAACCGGCCTGCCCGCTTCTCTCCTGGTGTCACATGGCAGCCAGAGAGATCTACTCAGATCTCAAATCCTAAATCAGATCAGGTCAGAATCCTCCAGTGGCTCTTGTGTCACTCAGAGGCAAAGCCACAGTCCTTGAACGCTGGCCACAGGGTCCTGCGGAACCTGCCCTCTCCGACCTCATCTGCCGCCCGCCTCCCAACTCCGCGTCAGCCGCAGGGCCCTCCTTGCTCTTCGCCCTGGGCACACTTTCCCCTGCAGCGCCTCTGCTTGGCAGTTCCCTCTGCCTGGAATGTTCCACCCCAGAAACCTGCAGGGCTCACTCCCTTAACTCCTTCCGGTTTTGCTCAAAATGGCCCCTTTTCAGTGCCGGCTTTTCCAAACCGCACTAATTAAAATTGCAGACCCCTCCTCTCCAACCCGGTCATTCTTTTTGTTTTTGTTGTTGTTTTGTTTTCTTGAGACAGTCTCACTCATTGTGTCACCCAGGCTGGAGTGCAGTGGCGCAATCTTGGCTCACTGCAACCTCTGCCTCCCAGATTCAAGTGATTCTCCTGCCTCAGCCTCCTGAGTATCTGAGATTACAGGCACCTGCCACCGCACCCAGCTAGTTTCTTGATTTGTAGTAGACACGGGGTTTCACCATGCTGGCCAGGCTGGTCTCGAACTCTAGATCTCAGGTGATCTGCCTGCTCCGGCCTCCCAAAGTGCTGGGATTATAGGCGTGAGACACAGCGCCCAGCCAACCCCGGCCATTCTTACCCCCTTTCCAGGCTTCGGTTTTGCTCTGTAGCCCTTACTGTCTTCAGACATGCTGTGGGATTTGTGATGTGTGGAGGTGGTATCTCCCCTCGATAGAACATGGGCTCCAAGGAGCAGGGCTTAGCTCTGTTCACCGAAACACAGAGAGCCCCTCCTGCCGCAAGGAGGCCCTCTATCAGGCAGCGGAGCAGTGACAACTTGGTTAAGTGAATGAATCAAGTACAGAACAGTGGTACAGGAACAAACGGGAGGGGAGGCACATATATATACATGTTGGGGAGGGTCACTACATGTGTGCGGTGTGACCTGAGGCAGGGCATGGCCTACGGTGGGAGCTCCAGGGCACTAGATGGAATCTCTACAAAGTCATCTTTATAGGTTGAGCTGTCCCAAGACAGTGCTCGGCCTCTCCAGCCTCAGGAGGTGTTAAGAGCCTGGGCAGTCTCTGATGTGTGTGTGTGTGTGTGTGCGTGCGTGCGTGTGTGTGTGTGGGTGTGTGTGTCTGTGTAGGTGTTAGAGCTCATTCCAGCATGAGGTGGATGTCAGACATCTGTCTTAAGCCGTGGCTGGATGCCCAGCCTCAGAGTGAGCCTCAGATCTCAGACCGAGATCCTGCTGTGTGCTGGGAGAGGGAGGGAGGTCAGGTGTGCTGGCCTGGTGCATCCTTGCTCTCCAGGTCCAAGATTTCTCCCTGACCCCTGCTATAAAAGATCCATCCTATCTTTGGACAGCTGACAGTGGCAGCAGTTTCCGTGCCTGGCAGTGCCCCCAGGAACAAGCTAAGTAGCTAAAGTGAAACACAGGTAGGTGACAGGCCTGTATCCAAGTGGGCTTCCTACTGCCCTGCAATGCTTTCTCCTAGGGCCACCCAGGGGCTGCTCAGAACCAGCCTAGAGGGAGGACTGAGCCTGTCACTTATCACTTGGGGGCACAACACTCCAGGCTGGCATCCAGGAGCCAGGTCTCCACCATGAAGCTGAGGAATCACCAGCCTTCTTAGAGTCACAGAATTTCAGGGCTGACTGCGGCCCTGGGGATCATGATGGCTCACTCGCCTCCTGTGTCCCGGTGGCCTCTGTGTCCCCACACTAAGCCTGGCAGACAATAGGTGCTTAGTAAGTGGTTAATGTTGGCTAATTCACAAAAAAAACAAACCTAACACTCTCAGTTTACAGATGAATACTCTGAAGCCCAGACCTGGGAAAGGCCTCCAGGACTCCCCACCCACAGCCAGCAGGCCACTACCCAGAGCCCGGTCTCCCAAGTCCAGAACTCTGCTGGGAGGGTTAGGGTTGAGGTTGCTGGATGAGAATCCCAACAAAACAACATGAGAAAAATGTCCATGACCCTGGACACTGCCACCCCCCTGCCCCCCACTCTTTCAGGAGCCCCAGCCCTTCCCGGCCTCCCCTTGGCTGGACTCACCCAGGGAGAGGGAGTTGAGGATGATGCCGGAAAAGGTCATGCCCATCAGGAACCGGAAGACGCAGTAGGCACTGAAGGAGCTGAAATACGCTGTGGCAGCCCCCGAAGCTGCCAGCTGCAGGTAGGACCAGACCAGGGGCACCTTGCGGCCCAGCCTGAGCCCAGAGAGTGAGCACAGGCGTTAGGGTTTTTGGAGGAGCAGTAGCATCCACCAAGGAGCAAATCGGCAGCCCATGCCTGCCCCTTCCACCTGAGCAGGGGGTTACCAAGGCAGTCAAGGGGAAGATGGGGTGCCCCGTGAAAGCCACCCCTCCAAAACAGAAACTTGAAACTGCTGGGACCCGGGCTTTGTGGGTCACAGAGGGAGGGGCATAGTGCAGAAGGAAGCTGCACTTCCAGGATTTGGTCCAGGCTTGAGGAAAGGCAGGGATTCTGCAAAGCCCCAGAGATGAGTGTGGCAGGTAGGGAGAGGTCACCTGAGCACTGTTCTGGCTGGAGGGAGGCCTCAAACCAGAACTCACAGCAGGTGAGCCCTTAGCCTGTCCTGGTGTGGGAGCAGAAGCCAGGGTTGAATCTTTACCTGGAGCAGAGGGTTGCCATGCCACAGAGGGGCCCAAGGCCAGGGTGGCAGAGTTAGCCCATTCCAGCCTTGGTACCACCCTATTTGCAATGAGGGTCCAGGCCCAGAGCGCACAGCCTCAGCTTGGCCAGGAGGGCAGCAGGCCAAAGAAGGGGGCAGCTTTTCTTCTCCACACACCCCATGACCTGTTCATTCATTCACTCACTCACTCATTCATTTATGCATTCGTTCATTTACTCATTCATTGTGACGCAGTGTTCCTTGATCATTAATCACCTATAAGTGACAGGCCTGAGTTGAGGGCTGGTGACACATGAGACACTCTGGGTTAGACACAAGCTCACATGTAGGAAGACCAGATGTGTCATAACACAGTGTGATGAGGGCTTGAGGCACGTGGCACAGGGAGCCTCTACACTCCAGAGTGTGGGGTAGAGTCCGGGAGAGCCCCCCAAACCCAAACTGAGAGAAGAAGGGCAGAAGAGAAGGGAGAGGGGAGAGAGCAAAGAGGAGGAAGGGGAGAGAGGAGCAGAGAGGGAAGCGTGGGAACCAACTTCAGAGCCATGAGCTGGCCGCATGTCACCATCCATCAATAGGGTCAGTTAGGCCGGGCACAGTGCTCACACCTGTAATCCCAGCACTTTAGGAGGTAGAGGCAGGAGGACTGCTTGAACCCAGGAGTTTGAGACAAACCTGGGCAACATAGTGAGATCCCATCTCTACTAAAAAAAATTTTTTTTAATTAGCTGGGTGTGGTGGTGTGTGCCTCTAGTCCCAGCTACTTGGGAGGCTGAAGCGGGAGGATCGTTGGAGCACAGAAAGTCGAGGCTGCAGTGAGCGATGTTCGTACCACTGCACTCCAGCCTGGGTGACAGAGCGAGACCCCCATCTCTAAAAAATAAGGGGGAGCAAGTTAGGGTCTGTTGCGGCTCATTCATACAGTGGGATGTAGTGTGAACACTAGGAGGGCTGGGACCGCTCTTTGCGAAGAATAAGAGAGGCTCCAAAGTGAAGAGAAAGCTGGGTGCAGGACGATGTGTGGTGGATGCCAGCATCTGCATAAAAGAGGACGGCCAGGCCTGTAACCCCAGCTACATGGGAGACAGAGGGAGAAGTGCCTGAGCCTAGAAGTGTGAGACCAACCTGGGCAACATGCTGAGACCTCATCTCAAAGCAAAAAACGGGGGGACATAAAGAAGGACAAAATACAAAACAGGAAAAGAAAAATGGGGGGATGGAGCATATACACCCACTTTCTTGACTGCATAGAATCCTGTCTCCAGTAAGAGACACAGAAACCAGGCTGCCCTCTGGGAATTACTGCAGGGAGGGGCAGAGGCAGGAAAGAAATGTGGGCTCTTCTGTGCCTTTTGGGATCTGGAACCACATGAATGTACTATATGTATTATCTGTTTAAAATGCACGAGTCAACTTTCACAAAGAAAAATGAATGCAGAGGCCTGGGCTTTCCTCCCTGTGGTGGGTGGCTGGGGCCCTTATCCCCACAGGCTCACCTGTCTGCCAGGCTGCCAAACACAGCAGCCCCCACCAGCACCCCGGCCATGTAGACGGACTGAGCCAGGTCTCGGAGAGTGCGGGCCTCACACACCAGGTCCCACTGCAGGGAAGACATGGGAGCTTCAGACTGGGCCTCAGCAGCAGCACCCCCATGCACCCAGCCCCCTCTGACCTCCATCACGATGGTGGACGGGAAAACACTGCGGTTATAGACCCAGCCGTCCTTGCAGCCCTCCGTGGCTGCTCCCGGGAGAGAGGAGTTGGGGTTCGGCAGGGCCCACTGAGGTTTCGTGAAGCGCCGGCATGGCTCCGGGGCCCCAAGCTGGTCCAGGGGTACTGTGGCCCTCAGCCAGTTCTCCGAGTCGTTGGTGGCCTCAGTGTGGTTGGTGGGGCCCCGGCAGTGGTGGGGGGGCACAGCGGCTGTGAAGTTCTGCAGGAAGTTGTGGCAGGCCAGGAGGCTGCAGGGCAGCAGCAGCAGGGCCGTGTGGAGGAGCTGGAAGCGGCCCACGCCACCCAGGGCGTCCAGCAGGTCTGTGAAGGCCATGACCATGGGCCTGACCTGAGGCCCAGCCTGCCAGGCTTTATGTAAAGATGCCAGGAAGGGGCGCTGGGAGGGGGAGGGACAGGCCAGGGGTGAGGACTGCAGACATCCTATGCACCCTGTGTCCAAGGGCTCGGGTTACACCCCACAGGAGGGTTCGGGTGTCCCCACATCTGCAGGGCTCCCCTCCCCCATGCCTTTTTTCCAGGTCTCTCCATCTCTCACCCAGAGGGCCAAGTCACAGCCCATCACCCCGATCTGCAGGCCCAGCCGCCCTGCCTGCTGCCCTTACCAGCAGGACCCCAGCACCGTCATCTTCCCTTTCCTCCAGAGGACAAGGAGACATGTTTGGAAGCTCCGATCTCAGCCCTGGCACATGGAACACAGTCCCTAGGGTCACTAGGCTCCAAATTGCAGCTGGAAATTTTAGTGCCCAGAGTTCAGAATAATGTGATTACAGCTGCTTACCCTTCCCCACGTCCTGGGAAGGCAGGGACTTGGCTGCACAGGTGACACTAGGGAAAAAGCCCCTTTTAAAATGCCCAGATAGGCTGGGCACGGTGGCTCATGCCATGCCTGTAATCCCAGCACTTTGGGAGGCTGTGGTGAGCAGATCACCTGAGGTCAGGAGTTCGAAAGCAGCCTGGCCAACATGATGAAACCCTGTCTCTACTAAAATATAAAAGTTAGCCAGGTGTGGTGGCAGGCATCTGTAATCCCAGCTACTTAGGAGGCTGAGGCGGACTTGCTTAAACCCGGGAGGCAGAGGTTGCAGTGAGCCGAGACTGCACCGTGGCACTTCAGCCTGGGTGACAAGAGGGAAACTCCAACTCAAAAATAAATAATAAATAAAAAGAAAATGCCCAAATTGGGCAGTCAGGAGGAATCCCCACCCTGCCCACCCCACCTCAGGGACTCTGAGTTTTTGAGAGGTGAGGGCCCCAGGTCATCCAGACCATGGTGTTCCCATCCCCTCATCAAGTAAAACCCAATCCAGAGAGCAAGTAAGGGTTTGAGCAAGATGGCCGGGCCCTGCACACCCTCCCTGCCCCCCAGCCCCTCACACACCGGCCCAGGCTCCAGGAAGAGCTGAGCCACTGCCCTCACTGCTGAAGACGCTGGGCCCAACAGGACCTGGGCTCCCAGCGAGGAGGTCAACAAGGGCAGCTTGCCGGCTCAAGACAGCAGCCTGCCCCATGGGGCACACGGGGGCCTCCACCTCCATCTGCCCCAACGCCAGGGGCCCACAGCAGTGGAGAGCAGCCCACCCACCCTCCACCACCTCAGCCTCTGCTCTGCATTTCAGCTTTGCCCCACCCGCCTTTCATTCCCCCAAACCACTCTTATCTCTGGTAAGAAAATCCCGGATCCCAGAGGTGCCTGGAGGGCTTATATAAGCACAGGTGTCCGGGTCACAGGGGCTCCCTCAAGAAGGACCTGAAGGAGGCTCTGTGCTCTGGGGAGCTCCCTGGGGGGCTGGGTGTGTGCTAAGTTGAGGTTTGGGTTTCATTCAGAACCTCACCTCACTGGGCAGGTGTGCAGGGAAGGTAGGGGTCAGGCCTCCTGGGTGAGGGAGGGCGTGTATCAGCAGGGCCACGTGGGACCTGTCCCAGCTGTGTGGCCCTGTCCCTCTAGCTAGGGCCCAACCTCCCAGGCCAGCCCTGGCCCTGGGAGGTTGGGCCCTAGCTCTTGCCCAGATCCCCAGTACTCCAGCAGGGGTTCAAGCCTCCAGGGTCAAGAGGAAGGAGATGGAGGGGTTGGAGGGGAAGGGTGTGCTGAGGCCACGAGCTGCCCCATGGGCTGGGGCCTGTAGGTGTCTTCCAGGCAGCAGGGTGGGGAGAAACACTTCACAGACAGATGCGGAGCCTTTTCCTTTATTATTTGGGGTTCCTCTGTATGGAACACGGGACCTCCCACCCCAAGCCTAGTGCCTCTGGCACCCCCAAAACCAGTACACTAGACTCTGCAGAGTCCCCTTTAAAATCACCAATATAAAAAAGGAGCAAAGGAGGGAAGGCCGCCAGCCCACAGGCTGGACAGCTCCTGGTTGGCAGCAGGGCCAGAGAGGGGCAGAGGGGGCGTTGGCTTCTGCGCAGGAAGGCACAGGCGTTCCCAGCCCTGGGGCCGAGCTGGGAGGCGGCTCCTCAAGCCTGGACTGCAGACTGTGGAGCTAGTGGTTATAGTTTATAGTCTGTAGGCGAGGCAAGGTCAGTGGCGCTGAGTGAGAAGCGGGGACACATCAGGATGCAGAGAAAACCTGGGGCTGTTCCGAGACGGGACAAGCGAAAGCTGCCTTCCTGGCTTGGCAATGGAGGACCTGAGTCCGTCCCGAGCCCATAGCGGGTGCAGGCGGGGCCACCCAGCTCTGCCCAGAGCAGATGAACAACGGCGGCTGAGAGGAGAGGGGACAGGAGGACGAGGCTGCCTCTCTGCTCCAAGGAAGGCACTTGCAGCTGGCGTGGCCTGGTGTGGCGTGGCAGGAGGCGTGGCTTGGCAGATGAGGAGGGACAGGAGCACAGCAAAGGGGACTGAGCCCCTGCCTCATGCAAACATGGTCAGCTGCAGCCACTGCGGGAGAGCGGGCAGGTCAGCCAGGGGCAGCCGGGACAGCTGCTTGGCTTCCTCCCCACCCAAACCCCGGGCCAACCCCCACTCCACGGCTCAGGAGCCACCTCAGGGACCTCATGGAGGGACTACTTTCCTCCACCCTCAGGAAACCAGACTGCTGCTCCCGCAGAGGCCTCCAAGGCCTGACCTCCCCTCCTGCTCCTTTCCCAGAACCAGGCACCCCAACCCCAGCCTTTCAGGACTCAGGTGGCCCAGCCTTTAGAGTTGCCTCTGAGGCCCAGGCTCACTTCCAGGAAAGGACAGGAGAACATTGGTCAGATAAAAAAACTCGATCACCTGGAAGTCTTCCCCCACCATGGACCCAGGGAGATTCCCACCTTAAACAAGTCAAAGGTCACGACTCCATCCAGATCTGTGTCCAGAGTTTTGAAAAATCCTGTATGTTCAAGAAAAGGTGATGCAGGGCTGAGAACTCAGTGCGACATTCATGCAGGGCCAGGCCTGGCCCCCTTCCTGCCTGGTCCCTCTCTACCTCCCCACAGTACCCCAAGCTGACACCCCTTGAAGCTCGAAAGCAGCTCTTCCTGCTGCTGAGAAGCCCCATCAACTCCCTCACCTCCCCCACTCTCCTGGCCCTCAATCAGGGCCCCTCAACCCCAGACCTAGGCCTCTCTGCACACGCCCACTGCACTGGCCTGTCTCTGCTAATGCAGCCATCTGTTATTCCCACCAGCTCCTGGAGGACGTGTTTGGGATGGAGCTGGAGGGTGGGAGGCGGCTGGGGACACTCACGGAACATGGTCTCCAGCCGCACCAGGCAGCACACGAAGTTGTCAAAGTCAACCGCCAGGTCGGGCTCTGAGTAGCGGGTGATGATGAGCTCGTAAAGCTTCTTGTTGAGCTTGAAGCCTGGTCCGGGAGAGTGAGTGAAGGTCAGGGAGGTGCAGCCCCTGCCCAACAGGATCGGGGAGGGGTTGGGTACCCAGGAGGGGACTGGGGCTAGGCAGGGTGCTTAGGGCCTTTTCTTCTCCAGGGTAAGGGGCATGAAGGCCTCCTGAGCAGGGCCAGTAGCTGTGAGGGGCTGGGCAAGTGAGTGCCTGGGTGGTGCCAGGGCATCGGGAGCTGGCAAGTGAGGGCTCAGGTCCGGCTTAGTTTGTCTTGAATACCCTGGCCTTATGCATAAGCGGGCTGGGGGTTGAGCCCTGCACCTCCCTCACTGGAGGCGCTGCAGCCTGGCTCTGCCCTCTTCTGGCTGTGAGGCCTGAGGTCACTTTCCTTCTCACAGCCTCTCTATTTTCACGTGCACAATGGGGCTGGTGAAAGACCCTAGCCTCGTTAGGCTGCAGACATGAAGAAAGGAAGGAAACCCAGTAATGCACTTAGCTCAGTAACCACAGGGAAAAGGGAAAGATGGCTGTTACCACGTCACCACCAGCACTCCAGACACAAGGGCCTGGGGCACGGGAGCAGTGGGGCTACCTGTCCCGGGTCCCACACATGCCATCGGCCTTGGGGTCTCACCTGCCGACTCAATGGCCATCCGCATCTCGTAGGCGCTCATGCTGCCCGATTTGTCCAGGTCAAACTTCCGGAAGATGGACTGGGGTGGGGTGCAGAGGGTGAGGGCCAGGCAAAGTCACCGGGCCCTTCCTGCCTGCCTGGCCCGTGCCTGCCGAAACAGGTGAGTGGGGACAACCTACCAGGTAATTCCGGATGCGGTTCCACAGGATGTTGAACTCCACCAGGCCCAGCTTCCCGTTGCCATCACGCTGGGTGGCCGTTAAGAAGGAAATTCCACCACTTAGACCAGGCATGGGAGGGTGGGCAACTGTGCAGAGGGGAGATGGCCGTGGAGCCGGCCAGCCGCCTCAGGGTAGGGTGGGGAGAGGCAGCAAAAGCCATGTGCAGTCAGCCCACAGCCGGGCTTGCCTCGTTCGCTGGGCTGGGGTGCAGTGGAGGGGGCAGGAGAGGGGTCAGAAACAGCACCAGCCTTAGAGTTAGTGGCGACCCAGGTCTTGCTCCACCTTTCATGTGACACAGGCCTGTGCCTCAGTTTCTCCCTCCCAACCAACAGGAAGACGTCCAGGGAAACACCGTGTGTCCACACTCCACATGGCTCCGTCCCATTCTCTGCGCCGTCCTGGGACAGTTCTCCCAGCACTGATTCCTCCACCCAAAACCCCACTCAGGAGACAGAAGCAAACGCAAGGATACATCCATGAGGTTCACCATGCTGCGGCACGACTCCAGGCTGAAGCCCTTGGTCCGCAGGTCTTTGTCTGCAAGAAAAACCAATTCCAACATCTCAACCTAGTGAACTTCCTGCCCCTGCCCCTGTGGGGAACACTGGGTGGGGGGTTGTCAGGGAGGCACAAATCCTGCCCAGTTGGTGTAGTATCTGGCAGAGGAAGTGGGCAGGATTATTATCATCAGGAAGTACAGGGCAAGTATTTTAGCAATCAAGCCAAAGTCCCAACAGCCACAATTAGTCCAAAGTATAAAGAAACCAGCGTGAAACAAAACAGCAGGAAATTGGGTAGAAAGATGGGGTGTGGTGGGATGGGAGGGGCTCGGCAGGGCTTGCTGCAGGTTATGGAGGATAAGCAGGGCCTCACTAGCAGAGGAGAGGAGAGGCTCTGCCATATGGAGGGAGGTCAGTGGCAGCAAAGCCCGTGGGCAGCTGCAGGCTGGAGGGACGGGGAGGGGAGGGAGTGCTTGCTGGCAATTGTATGCCA